GTCATGAGTCCACATCTCCGATCTTAGTTTACTACGTTGGGTGTACCGTAAAAGTTTGGCGTTGTTAACACTTCATTCGATAAAGGGATAAGATTCAGGATTTGATATTTGAATTCTTATTCGCTTAACGGTTATTACCGAATAATGTGCAGGATCATTGTTTTCTGAGAAGGATGTGTATGCCATTCTGCATTCGAAATATGTGTCCTACTTTCAGCATCTGCTAAAATACATCTTGTTAGTTCGGTACTGTGATAGAATGTAATTTCGTTTTTGTTGATTTATTAGAAGTTACCCAGTGAGACAGTATTATTCTCTGGATTACGTTTCGGGCAAAATGCTTTGTCCATATTTATATGATTATCAAAAGTAATCCAGTAAATATTACTGCTTCACTTTGTGAAGCACCTAATAAGCTAAGCAAAATGGAAAATACTTTTTAATTGCCACTATGACGGATTGAGAGATTAGACTAGTTATTAAGGTCAAATCACCTAGCATTTGTTATTACAGCTGTTTATATGATCGTCATATTAGCAACAGCACTGTGGAAATAGAGAATACTTTAATACTATACGATGTCAATCAGAGAAGGTTACAAATGTAATATCTTTCAAATACTATAGTTCTAAGCTAGTGCCAGTGTATCAAACCACACAGTCCCTCAAGTAGTTCAAAGTATACAGATTTCCGAATCTCGTTACTCCCAAATGTGTATATAGAATCGCGTGTACGTGTGCTAGGGGGTACATTGGACATTTATCAAAGATTTCTGAGCAAGTTTCAAAGACTCTGTGTGTCAGGGGGGTTCATAGTTGTTTAGTATCGGTTTACCACGTTCTACAGTAGGTTTGTGGGAACAGCGGAAATAACCAAGACCTTCAGAAATCTTAACGGAAGGGGAATGCCACCTTCACTTCATTTTGCAGAAGCCAGTGCAACTTATGTATTGTCACGGTGGCGTTTCGGAAACCTCTTGAGTTTTTTTTATCATCAATTTAGTACCTCTTTATTTAACTGACTCCGACACTATAATCATTGTGAATTTAAACTGCTTCTCTGTGATCAGCTTATCACGATAATCCTAGTAGTTTTTACACTATTTTTTTATCATATTGCAATTCTGGTCTTTCCTTACCTACGTGCTCTAGAACATTCGTTATTCTTAGTTGTAATAATACAATAACTGTAACCTTGATGTGATGTTCCTCACACATGTGCTCTAACATTCAAATGTCAAAATGAATATATTAAAAACTAACATGTTTAAAAAACTCATTTGTAAAGATTTTCGAAGTAGGTTGCGATTCTAGAAGATATATCAGATAAAATGACTTCATCTCATTCTGAAAATGACATTTTGATTGAGTTATTTAAATCTGAATTCAGTTTCCAATGTTCACTGTATCTTCATCCACCTTCGTCGATAATTTCCCCTTAATCTAGATCCGTAATGGTCCATTGATCTTCACTTGCTGCACTGCTTTGATTCAGCATTAACTTATTCTGTATTCCAGCTTTAAGTTAGACATGTAGTCTCCAACTTATACTTCCAATGTAATAAATAGCCCTAAAGTATTCGAAATTTGGTTTACTAGTTGTACTTTTATCAGGATTTACAATGATTATTCTTAGTATTAGGAAACGTGTTTTAAGTGACAAATTTCAGTTGTGCGACTGAAAACTAAAAGTACATATATAGATCATATACTGAAAATTCATAAAAATGTGCTACTGATTGGCTTATAAATTTATTCTGTAGTAATGATCTAAGCAGTATCCTCTTCCAAACCCTACCCAAAGTGTTTACTTACTGCTTCTGGCACACAGTTGATGAGGACTTCCTCGCATTCCTCAAACAAACTATTCACCACAGTTCAACATTGCATTCTATGATGTTGTCTTCATTCAAAATGATGATTTGCAGTCACTTACAGTTAAATACCTACACCTCTGTCATGGGGTTCAAAAAGTGAAATAGAATGAAAAACATTATATACCTTTCCGCCTACACTATGGAATTTAGAAACTACAAATCATAATGAGCTATTTTCGTTGGCAAAAGAGTACTGCCGTAAATCTAAGAGATAACAACCGGATATCTGAGGAAATGATTATTAAGTTCAAGGTTTACGTGGCGGTAAGAATACACTCAAGCAAACAATAAAGTTTTAGCTGACTGGCACAAGGAGGATAAAACATGTCTGACAGATTCCTTTTATATCAATCACCAAATACGACAAAAAGTGTCAACAATCCCACAGTAACTCATAACAGCATAAAGGCATACATGCATGCAGTGTATATACCAACAACAGCCAACAAATTTGACGTAGTAAATGAACTGCAAAAACCACAAACTCGAATAGTAATAACCCTCTTTTTAAAAGAGTGGCAATCGTGACTCAGCCAGCCAATAGATAACTGTCAAGTCTAAAATAAGACTAAAATACTGAGTGACCATTCCGGGTTCCACTACTACCCAATACCTAGTCATTTAAGAAAAGAGGACAGAAATATACATATGAATGTACTTGTCATTAACAAAGAGCATGATGTGAAAAGTTGTTGTGCGTCATATTCACGAATACAGATTAGTAATCAAATTAAAATGATATTACAAATGCGTTAAAGTCAATGATTTTGTAATATTGCTTCTTGAAATATTATAAAAGTTCTTAGAAAAAGACATTTATCAAAAAGGAAGAGTAAGAAAACATGAAAATCACTGATGAATGCATGTATGAGTATTCTTAAAATATCACGAGTGAGTTTTTTCACTTATAAATCATGCATACTTATAAGGTATATTCATATTCATATATTAAAACAAGTAGATGAAAACAGTTGCATATGGCAGTGTCGTTATTGGCATCTAGGAATGTTATATATTACACATCTGAGCTTAAATGATGTGGCCAAAAGTTGATATGATATACCCTCCGACTGTTCACCTTTTTAACAGTGTGTGGCGTTGAGGTTGACTGCAGTTTCGATTGTGATAGAGAAGATTCAGCGTACTGATCTAGGATGGGTTCAGTTTCTTGTCTAGTTTTTGTTGACAGCTGATTTGGAGATCCTTGTCCACGAAGATTATATAAGATAAATATGCAGTCGGCTAGAGACAGTAAGCCGTTAGCTGCATTAGGATTTATAATTGATTCAGTTGAGAATAAGTACTCCTATCAACATAAAGCATACAAACTTCCCCTTAAATGAATGAGATTAGGAAGGCAAATTTCAAAAAAATCTAAGAAAGCTCTTTTGATCCATCACAAGTAACTCATTTGCTCTTCCAATAGGAATCTTATTCTGAACACTCATTTTCGGCGTAAAAAATAACTCAGAACTTGCTGACCATAACGTAGTAGTAAACTTATTTCCCTTTAACTGACTCGAAACAGATGATTCATCATTTAATTTCAATTCTTTACATCATGTAGTCTATTAGATCAGAGAGAAAAGAATAAAAACACTCCATGGTAGCATCTTTTTTTAGCAACAGATAATAATCCCCTAGTCAATTTATACAACGTAGTTTGGATATAGAGATGTAAATGACTCGTGTATTTGGTTAGAAGATGAAATCCTGCAAAATATTAGTTAGGTTCAGTAAACACTAACTATTTTTAACTGCTTTTTACCTAGATGTATCGCGGGTTATTAGCAGACATCACCATCAAACTTTGCCACTAGATTTAGAGGACTTCATTCAAGAATCCTGTTCATGTTATAGACTTCTATGTACACATGTAGTTCATTGCACAACGCAGTAATATCTGGTCCTATGTTAATTGGATGGATGGTGGATCCATTCTTGTTTTTTTCTCGACCTCCGACTACTTTTGGCTACTCTCTTCCTCATTTCTCTATCATTATCATTAAGATGAACATGGAAACAAGCATTACTACGTAACGCTTCAAGTTGTCATACCTCATATCAGCACATCAAGTAACAATGTAATGTAATAGAGATGAAGAAGGAAAGAAAGCCCGGTCAAGAAAACTAGAAAAAGAGATGAAGGAAGAATGATATGGTGAGACGAAGTATAGCGGTTGAGATGAGGATGATGTATGCATGCCACTGCGCCACTGAGATAAGTTCTCGGCCATATCACCTAGAGTCTCCAAACACTGGTTTCTGTTGTCCCATGAACCCCAACTGTGTAGTCTGCATCGCGCTATCCGGCTCAAACCAACAGTCAGCGACTTCATGCATTGATGCCATATTTTTAGTCTCTCCGTCCCGAGCCTTTTTCCAGCCTGAACCTACTTCGGTCAACATTCTGTGACGAGGTAGACGGTGGCTAGGCATACGAAACACATGTTTCAGTCATCTCAATCGATGAAGGCTCACAACCGCATCAACTGTCTAACCTTTCTTATCTAAAACTCAACGTCTGATTTCTACGTTACTCACATCGTGACACCACGAAACACAGCTTAAGCTACGAAGGCAGCGGTAGTCAAACACCTGAAGCCTTCTCAATCTTCTACCTTTAATGCCCATGTTTCACAGCCATACAGTAGGAAAGAACGGACTGCAGCACAGTAAACTCGACCCCTAGTACATAATCGGATATCATGGCGGCACCACAGATTGCAAAAGCCAACCGAGCCTTTTATTTCTCCATATTTTATCATGGTATCTTCTCGCTTGCTGTGGTGATAAGAGGTGTTGCAACTTGGGCCGTTATGAAGTAATGTCAGGTTTCATGTTGATATTGCCTGACTGACTAACTCAGTCCAATTTTTTCTACGCTGCACTTATCTAACACTTGGAGTAATGAATTGTAAACAATATCAGAATAACAAAATAATTTATTTACTAGTCAATATTCGGGATCACTGGATGCAAAGTAGAAAAATTACATTCAAAATCACAAGAGGCTGGAATTTTTATGAAAGAAAATGCAGACACAGACATAATATAAGAAATAACGATGATGAGTGAAAATATTGGTAATCAGAAATATTATTAAGCGTTTATTGTGTATCGTTTATGTATCAAGCCAGGAATGAATCGTTTGTACCTCAATTTGACGAATCTGACGTGCTGATGGAGGATCACTAGGATCTGGTGATCTACAGGTGAAATGACGAAACAGAAAAGTAAAAATACTAATTTACTGCTAATCATTCATTATGAAAAACAGCTACATAAATCACGAATGAAAATGGGAATTATTGAAGATGATACTCAGTCTCATAATGCTGAGATGTAAAGGTTTTGATAACCAAATAGTATGATCAACCAAGTGGCTGATAGCTTACGACATCATAATGCACTACAGCAGAAATATTTGAAATGAGCGAAGGATTTCCAGTTTTTAAGCTGGATCAATGATAGGCAGAAGTCACAAAGAAAGCAGAATGGTGAATTTTGAAACTAATCAAGTTAGTGCAGATGCACACTCCTCTATGGCAATTAAACACAGCATAACTTTTTCAAACCTTCAACGTTGACATATCATTTGGCGATTGCATACGCCAGTGTGCCCAAAGCACGATACAGCAAACTGCAACCACGGATCATAATTAAAACAGATTTTATACAAATGAATAAAAAACAGATCAAACTATAAACAACAAACGACTCACCGTAAATCTAAGTGGTGTGCTCCACCATCTAACACCAATGAAATTACCTTATCTGACTGGTCACTTAAAATCTATTATTTTAAAAACAAATTAAAAAATGTAATAAGCAGAAAACTATACCGAATGAATAATGTGTTGCAGAAACAATGAGCCACTAGACAACTAGCTATCATGAAATTATTTTCCTATGTCAGTGAAAATGCCCCACCGTTCCCATTGCAGCAGAACGAAGTACCTTCGTTACAAAAAAGTATCAGAAAAAAGCCCAGCCGTGCTCACGCCGTACGATAACAATTAAATGATCGATCCACATCCTGTTTCTTGCAGTCCAAAAAAATCAGTTTTCCCGATAACTTGCAACAGACTAGAAATTATTAATATTATTATTTGTCCCTTGGGTTCCTAATGGAACATAGGGATTCAGTAGCACGTCTCCATTCCACTCTCTTCTCTGGCTCCACGACAGCCCGCAACCTCTCATTTCCTCTTCGCACGATCTCCTCCATGTCACCCTCGGACGCCTAACTCATCGCTTCCCATCTGGGTTCCACTCAAGGGCCTGACGCATGATGTCCTCAATCGGCCTTCTCAGTGTATACCCAATCCGTCTCCACTTCCTTCTGCATATTTGTTCAGCGACAGGTTCTTGGTTGGTTCGTTGCCAGGTCAGAGTTCCTTGTTGCATTTTCTTTATGGCCATTTGATTTTCAGTAACGAGCAAGCGTAGGCAGTTGTTGATGAATGTCTGTAGTTTGTTGGAAATCCCTTCCGTGACGCGCCAAGTCTCTGAACCATACAGAAGCACTGACTAGATGTTGGTGCTGAAAATCCGGATATTGTTCCACATGCTGAGTGCAGACGATCTACACACTGGTTTCAGGCTAATAAACGCCTGTCCTGCTTTTCAGATTCTGACTTTGACAACCTCGTCTGTGCCACCTGTAGTTGGAACAGTGCTGCCTAGATAGCTGAAGGAGGCTACTTCCTTTACGTTTCTTCCATTCATGGTGATTAGAGCTTGTTGGTGGTGGTGGTTCGGTATCTTCATCAACTTTGTCTCCTCTATATTCACTTGAAGTCCCGCATTCGCTGCCTCTTCTGACAACTTGTTAGTTTTCGCCTGTAGATCTTCAAGATTCTGCGACATCAGACACAAGTCGGCGGTGAAATCCAAGTCTTCTAGATTCTTTACGCGGTCCAGCGTATCCACCTCTCCTCGTTCCTCACCGTGTCTTGCATGATTCAGTCGACCACAATCAGGAATATCATAAGTAATAGTAGGCAGCCTTGTATTACTACTGTCTTCACTTCAAAAGCATCACTGAGCTTACCATTGTGAATTAAACAGACCAGAAATACTGAATTTCAAATATCCCTATAAACCGAAGTAGGTGAGAAGCAAAAAAATCTCACATAGACATATCAACGTCAAACGACGCATAAAAGTGCATCAGTTCAAGTTACCACACTTCACACTAGCATACAAAGAACAAATCGACAGAAAAAGGCTGATATCAAAGTAGACAAAGGTGTATACGAGGAAATCAAATTCGAAAATCAAGTTTCAGAAAACGTCAAAAAGTGAATGCACCTGCACTACTCTAACCAATTTTCAGCCATTTCATCAAGAGTCATCGTCATCCTATCGTCTCAAGGACCTCAGTCTGGCAATCTACACCTCCCTACACAGCTCAGACCAACAGTCACAGATTTCATGGTCTGGCCAGCCTGAGTCTCCTTCTAACCTACCTAATACAACCTACACGTCGAGGTCGGCAGTGACCCGTCGTGCACAATACATGTTCAAGTCAATTCAGTCGCTGAATGTTCACAACTTCAACGACTGACTTGCCTTCCTTGCCTAGTATCTCTCCAATAAACTCGAAACTGCTAGCATGGTGATTCCACTATACGTGAGTAATGATACGAAGACACCTATGATAGATACCCTGTGACCACTTCATGTCTTCTACTTTAACGGCCATGTCTCACAGCCAAAACACATGCCAAACATACTCTGGTTTCTGCTCAAGGCATCCAAGACTGCATTTGTCAGCGTCTTCATCTAGCGTGGCTGTCTCCTATCTACTTGCCGAACAGAACAATAACGTCTATGTACTCTAAGGTTAACCACACGCCCTCCGAGGAGTAGGTCAAGCCCTATGAAGTCAGACGTTCCTAAGGTTATGTTCATCAGTACATCTACAGTGAAATTAAACAGGAACGGCGAAAGCGAACATCCTTGCCAGACACAACTGATTGTCGTCAATCCAGATGATTAATCGCTACAAGCCCTTCCTTACATGACTGCATGAGTTTCAGTATTGAGTTTTCATTAGCATTGCATACCTGATCTCTACTCTCCTTACTGCCAGACACTGCTACAACACCTCATGTTCAACAGAGTCGAATACCACCTTCAGGTCAAGAAATATGGTGAGCGTCGACCGCCGGTAAGTGTGCCTGTGTTCCAGAACCTGTCGAACGGTAAAGATCTGATCGACGCACCCTTGTTCAGGTCTGAAACCTGTCTGGTTTACACGAGCTCTAATTAGGCGTCGGATAACTATGAACAAAACGATCTTTGACACGATGTCAATCAAACTGATTCCCCTATGATCGTTACAAGAAGACTTCTCTCCCTCCTTATAGACTGGAATGATAAGAGAAGTAGAGTAGTCTGATGGGTCTGCCTCTGGTTTTCATCCACTACTCCATTGTGCATAAGAATTCTCTCAGATTTTGAATTGATTGCAGTAATCTTAGTAACATCCTTGTTGATGCTTATTTTGGACCCTGCTGGTTAGCAGAAGAAAATGAAGATGGTTCCGTATGCACTGTACGCAATACGAAAATGAACTGGTCTATAGAGTACCTTAAGGGAGTGTTTACATTGCTTAGCAATGGAAGCATTCATAAAAGTCTAACGAGTGAAAAAAACACCAGCTGCAACTAGGAAAAAATTACATCACCAAAGAACATATGAAAATATTACATTTCAGCAATAAAAAATGAAACATCAAAATTTATTGGTGCTTGTTCGGTGGCTTGGTTAGCAGTGGAATCTAGGACGCGCATTTCGTCCTATTTGGGACTCATCATCTGGACGTACCTGGACCCCATTGAGTGTTGCTCCCACTGAGACTCGAATTCAGTAGCCATCACTTCAAAGGCCATAGACCAATCCACTGGGTCACTGAGGCACGAGAGTCGAAATTTATTATTCTCTGTTATTCATTATTCGAAATTTATCATTCACTAGGAAAACGTTCATTGCCTTGTGATGATGAGTCCGGTTGTTTGAAAAACTGATACAACTCAACAGTCCATGGGCTTACGGTTCAACATATTGTCATTCCTAAACCCATGTCTGCATATCGAGGAAGATTAAAACTGACTATTTATTGATGGTCTTACCCAGAACGTTTCTTTTAGTTGACCGAATGCTCATTATTTAAGGTGTATGGAATATTTTTGAGTTAGGTTTACACCTACTTATTCCTCCGTGTAAGCGTAGAACTTTGGCACTGTGGTAGTGTGTAGTTACACTTTTATTTTCTTTTGAGATATTTCCTACGGTGAAACAGTATTATTTTACGGGATAACCTGGATGCGTTAAAAAGGTTATGCGGTAAATAAGTTTTACTGTAAAATATCTAATACACGAATTAACATGGAACTACTTATTCATCGACTCGTGTTATATCTTGTGTACCTTTCTTCCAATACTTTAACCAGTCATAGAGAAGAGATAATTCAGCGAAGAAAATTTTCTTTCTCGACGATATCATTTTCTAAAGCTGTACAATCGTATTTATATATATCATAAACATATAACAGTCTATTGTAAAACAATAGGGTATAATTACATCATCAACCTAGTGCTAAAAAAAGCCGGAATCAAGAATGCAAAGTAGTTGCGTAATAAACTAAGACAGTAAAAATATCGAGGAAGGCAATGAGTTTGACAAGGTGAAAATTGTTGGTAGATAAGAAACGCAAATATTGAGTGTCCACTTGATAGACAGGTGTGAAGAAGGTGAAAATCTGTTATTTGCAGGTGAGGAAATTGAAAATCCAATTTTCATCACCACTAAAAAAAGGCTTATTTCGCCAAAGTCAATGGATCACCAGTATGTCATAAACAACAATAAGAGCTGTACTACTTGGCATACATCGCTTAATTTTACCTACATAAGGATGTGAATCAATTCGGTTGAGCTAGTAGCCAACTTCAGAATGGATTTGGGAATGCAAACTTGCATACATAAGTGACACTACCTTGCACACCTGTTAGTTAAATGAATCAGTCTCTAAGATCGAGTATGAAGGTCAGCTGTTCTTCGTACATTACGAATGTGCTCAATCACCGTAGAAAGTGAAAGACAGGAAGCCACAAGTAGCTTTACCACTCATAACTTGTAGTGAAGCTACCCAATGAAGGATATTGCAGTTAGCTGAAGGTGAATCAGTTGATTTTTGATATTATGTTTTTATTCTACTTACCTCCTTTTCTTCGTATCTTATGGCTTGTTACAAAAGCTGGTACTATTCATTTGCATTTCTGATGAGAAATGTCACAATTTTAACCAACCGACAGTTACACCAGACCCAATGTTACATACATCCGTTTATCTACAATCTGCACCATGATAACTAATTTCGTGGCGTGTAAATTAGGTTCTCATTATCTCATTAAGCTCAGTCGCGAAAAGTACTTCTTCACGACTCCGTTATGACCAACCACTTTATCGATTGATTTGGTCATCCCTAATTTTTTCTCAGCCACATATTAACTTAACCACCAATACATACATGGCACGTTGAACAGTTTGGTTAGTTCCGATGGAAAATAAACTGGTATTATTTGAATTGAATGCTCCAACTAGCAACTGCAAAATATGGCTCTGACAAGTTGATTGATTTACACATGATTTACAAATTGTCTGGTCCATGTTGGCATTTCTCACAGTTGAGTACTTTTTCAGCTGCTTAACTCTGCTGTCAATAGAGTTTCCGTTGGGTACACTGATTATGAGCTCGGCCTCAAACGAGAGAAACAGCCGTCTGATGTTTAAGTAACTATGATCTGGCTGGAGAAACTTAAAGATCAGCCTAAGTTATTTCTAACTCAAGTTTTTCAGTAGTACATTTCGTGACAACTATGACAATCATGGGATTATTACTATTCAAAGGCTTCACTAACTGAATACCTTTGCGGTTGCCCACACTTTCTACCCCTTTGAGTTACCACATAAACTGCATGCAAGACCAATCATCTGTAACTTTTTGAACAACAATCTTAATTTCCCCTCCTACGTACAACAGAAGACAATGACTGTTGTTCACTAACTCTTCAGTTCTGCTATTGATTTATGTGCATATACGTTACAAGTTATATATCCACAGCATAAGGTAATCCACAGAAATGAAATAGCTGATTTTATACATGCGAAAAAGAATAATGTACAATAATTGATTTCGACTAACATGAAATTAAATCGGAGCCTTGGTTTGCGCGGAAATAAATGAGGGGTGAATAAGATGTTGAGACGAGCAGTAACATAATACTACAAAGTAGATCTCACGTAATAGATCTTAAAAAATAGTACGACAGACAGTAAATGTCTTCGGTTCGTCAAAACAAGTAACAGCGTAATCAAACTATCTGCCTTAAATTTGATAACACCATAAGAAGTCCAAAGTTAGCGTTCACTAACGGGTGTTTATTCTCATTATGATTAAACAGTGAATAAACTCTGGTCAACAGATGGCTTTTAATCAGAATACTGCGAAAACTCCTCATCCACATGCTAAAGAGATAGTAGCAATACACAAAGAAAGTATGACAGCCGATTCAATAATCACTTAAAACAATCAAGAAATATACTGTGTCTTACTCCTAGTAACCAGTAAACATAGAGAAACGAAACCATACAAATCATACGGTTATCACTTGTCCGCTACTATTAAAAGGGTATAGTGAAACCAATAAAACGAACAAAGTGGATTTCACAATCATAGAAATTGTGAAAAACATTGTGGCGATATTATCAGCCTGGCACTTAACAAGTCAGGTTGACCAGTGTCATATACTTAAGGAAATTGTCGAAGCATAAAATAATCTTTGGTCGGGTCAAAAAAGTACTGAAGAAAATGGCAACCGGACGCAGCAATGAGAATATATCCTTCTTACATATCGATTGCAGACAAGTGAAAATTTGAAGTATATGCTTTAAAATTATGTTTCGCTGGATAGAGCTAGTTTTTCTTTTACTTCATCTCAGTAATTCAAGGTAGTACATAAAGACAACTTAAGAATGGCACACAACTGTCACAGGAGAAGATCAAACCAACACGTAAATCTTTTTCCGATCTTAGTGATAATATATATTGAACATTTTTATTATCACAGCTGAGAACAAGTAGGACTGGTAACACCATAAATTGGCATTGATATACATAATACCCTAATGCTTGGAAAATGTCTTAGTGTTCTAATACAGATTTAATCTGATTGAGGTTTCTAGATATCTGGAAAGATTATCAAATAAAATCATGAGAAAAGCAAGAGCAAATTACGACCTAATTTACAATACTCTGCAAGTCACACAGCATGAGGAAATCAATGAAAGAACCATATGATAAAAGTACGAGTAATAACTGAAATACTAATAATAACAACTTTAATAATAATAGTAACACAAAGTTTACAGACATCCAAACCAAGTTGGGATTTGATGGTTTCAAAAAACTTAGATGAAAATGAAAGGCGAATACAAAACACATAGAGGAAAAAGGTAGCTATTAATTATAGCAGTATGAAGAATGAATGCAAATGTATAACTGACGTCGATCCTAATAAACTAAAAACCCTAACCGAACTCAGCCACCTTGCATATATTCGTGATGCAGGCAATAAGCTACACCTACTGTGTGAAGATTAGTGATACTGTCTGCTTGCCCAAACCACGGTAGGTGGAGAGGGATTCGACCTAGTGACCTACTGGTTGTTAGTCATCTTCCCAAAACACCAAGCCACAGCTGCACTAACGTCAACCCAGTCACTTCATCTAGTCTCCAACCAACAAGTATCGGCATCTTGAAGACCATAACTATGAAGAAGAAAGTGCAACGATGGCTTTAAAACAATAGACAACCACTCTCTGAAATAGTATCATGCTTTGGTCTGACCATCTAAGAGTACTTTGGTGTTGGGTTTTATGAGCTGAATGGTTTAATCGTGAAGCTTTCGTTGTCATTCCAGACAACATCATCAGCAAAAACTTAGAAAGAAGTTTGGAGTTTATTTGCTCGTGCTTCTAATTCAGATGGCGTATAGAGTTGATACGCGAAACCACTGGCACTTCAGGTAGCGTAAGTTTACACCCTCATCAATGAATTTGTTTCCTTCATCTTGTGTTGATGATAATAAATTCTATCCCTTTACACGAGTCATGCATACTCCATAGCTGTAAACAGGTAAGTCCAAGCTATCAGTATGAATGACGGCGAATTATCAAACACTTACATTACCAAAATCGATCACGAGAACTAAAACTACATCCAAAAACTCTGTTGTACACAACTATTTCAAAACACAAACAACTTAGAGGAAAAAGGATGACGAAAACGTACACTTCACTTACCCGCCACCCATCCATGGATCTAAATTCCCATTTGAAAATATGATATTACTTGCGGCTTTCCAAACTGAAAGTACATAAACAGGTTTTCACGCAAGATAAATCCATGAGTAAAGAATAATATCAAACAGAAATAGTCAGGGGATTCGACTTACAGTGCAGTGCAAGTAAAAGGCTAATAAATCTGAGAGTTAGAAATATCACAAAGTCACCTCAGAATTAAAAAACAGTACAATTTACATTCATTACGACGTGTAAGAAGTTACCTTAAAGTACTTCCTATCCGTGTAGTGCGAACATATCACATAATATGATCATGTAGCAATCATGATCAATCACAGACTTGAAGAATTAAAATGCACTTCAAACTTTTCTCAGTGTTGAAACTCACAGCAGTTTTCGATATCACCATGAATTCAAATAAATTCACTCAGCATACATACAAATTGATTGATGTTGAATAAGGGAGTGTGTTCTGTCCCAACGTAGGAATTACAGAGTGAACTGTGTTTTATATTTCCATTTAATTAAATTTCACCATGGTGTAAGACGAATATGGGATGCTGAGTGAATTTATTTGAATTCATAGTGATATCAAAAACTGCTGTGAGTTTCAACTCTGGGAAAAGATTCAAGTGCATTTTAATTCTTCAGGTCTATGATTGATCATGGTTGCTATATGACCATATTATGTGATTCAAACAGCAACGATTAGCATCGGCTGACTTCGTTCGTTTAGTACACTGCTTTATTTTGTGTTGACTTTCAATATTCGAAATCGGGTGTACATGAGAAATAATATCATTAAAAACTAACTTTTTTCATAGAGTCAGGAATGTGATGAACATCAGAGGGGCTTTTTGAACTTTGGTCATGGTCTAGTTAAAGAGTAACCGCAGTCATGAGAATTAGGAATATCAGGAGGGGATCGACGTTTGACGGTAAACAATTATTTCCACTCATCCACAATATGGGATCAAAGAAAATTATGAATAACTGTGCTATCATAGAGATGAATGTCAGTCATTCTATCTGAGGACAAGTTCCTGTGCCACTCAATACAACCATCCATCGAAGAACGAATAAGATCATGAAATAAAAAAAGCCTCTTTTCACTGAAAAGACCTCAACCACTGATAACTTCATAAGCCATGAGTCGGGTTAATATAGTTCCTTAAATAATTTACAATTCTCGATAGTGTATAAAGTCAAGCACCTTGTGCACTTCAGCAACGCTTCATTCATATTTTTACAGTGAAGCTTTTACCACCTAATCATTTATTTCTGGGAACAGTTCTGTTTGATCATACTGCTTTAGTAAACATATTGTAATAAAACCAATGGAGAATAATTGTTGTTCGACAATAAATAACAAACTAAAAAAGCATCAGCACGACTTACTATTATCACCATAAAATGTTGACAGCTGATTGAAGGCTGGTGTAACACCCCATTTTTGTTGACAATATTGTGTCACTTGCTGTTTCGTTAAGGGTAAGGAAGTAAACATATCATTTGTAGTACTATCGGAATCATCGTGCAGATTCATTTCTGTACAACTCTGAAATAATTGTTCAAGAAGTGACAACTCATTAATAACCACGAATAAAGGAAAAAATAAGTAGTTTTTCATAGCAGGCTCAGGAAGTATATCTTTTTTGGGAATCCAAACTTCTGGACACTATAGTACAAAACATAACAGTTTTTCCGATATACTGTGAACAGCTTACCAATCGCTTACAAGATTGGATATCAAGGTCTCGGTTGCATCTATAGCATACAAGCCTATTTAGGTTAGGCTACAAGTTTCAAGATGAACCCCGCCTAACATGAACGTTATTTTAAGAAAACGTGATGGATCGGTCCCATCGTCACGCTGAAAGCATCCAAATAATGCTTTCCCATGGAAACTAAGACTTCTACTAGAACATTTTACTAACAACTCGCTCAAAATGACCAGCGTCATCCCAGAGTCCAGTCAAATGTCAGGCTTAAACCTATCCACATTCCCCGGGTAATCAATTCGTTGACAAGACCCCTCCTCCACGTAGGCATATGTGCACAAAATGCGTCTCACTGAGTCTTCATAATCTTTCAGACCTAAGTACACCTTACCTTCCTGCAGAGACGACTCCAAAACAGAGGTTTTCTCCGGATTGCTGATAAATAGCTAAAGCTCACAACATCGGCAGTCCTGATCGAATATTCCTCACCTTCGCATGGCAAACTATGCGTCTCTGAGGGGTCCTTCAACAACAGTGACTACCAGAATTAGGAAGTTAAATTCATCGTACCTTTCGGTTGCACTTCTCTCAACGCACCATTCAGAAATCTGACAGCTACCTAGATTTCCTGTGCTTCGGAGACCGGCCCCACAGATCTTGCACATGTAGATCTAGCAGACTGCGGTTACCAGTAAGTCATCTTCAAAGGTGTATTGGTTGATATCCAGCGACACCAAGAGGAGGGCCCACCATAGTAACATATCTAGGGTCCACCCGTAATCCCCGGTAGAAAACCATCGCCGCTTTTCACGAGTCAGCAGCACGAAAACAGCGGCGCTTATATGCAACATACAGCTTATTTACTCCGATGCTCTGGCACGTAACCATGAAGAACATAAAAGCCAACTTAAGAAAGTTCCAGTTACTCCCACCTACACAATTGTACACCAACTATTATCAACCAATATCAAAACTAATGAAACTACCTTATCTGACTGGTCACTTAAAATCTATTATTTTAAAAACAAATTAAAAAAATGTAATAAGCAGAAAACTATACCGAATGAATAATGTGTTGCAGAAACAATGAGCCACTAGACAACTAGCTATCATGAAATTATTTTCCTATGTCAGTGAAAATGCCCCACCGTTCCCATTGCAGCAGAACGAAGTACCTTCGTTACAAAAAAGTATCAGAAAAAAGCCCAGCCGTGCTCACGCCGTACGATAACAATTAAATGATCGATCCACATCCTGTTTCTTGCAGTCCCAAAAAAATCAGTTTTCCCGATAACTTGCAACAGACTAGAAATTATTAATATTATTATTTGTCCCTTGGGTTCCTAATGGAACATAGGGATTCAGTAGCACGTCTCCATTCCACTCTCTTCTCTGGCTCCACGACAGCCCGCAACCTCTCATTTCCTCTTCGCACGATCTCCTCCATGTCACCCTCGGACGCCTAACTCATCGCTTCCCATCTGGGTTCCACTCAAGGGCCTGACGCATGATGTCCTCAATCGGCCTTCTCAGTGTATATCCAATCCGTCTCCACTTCCTTCTGCATATTTGTTCAGCGACAGGTTCTTGGTTGGTTCGTTGCCAGGTCAGAGTTCCTTGTTGCATTTTCTTTATGGCCATTTGATTTTCAGTAACGAGCAAGCGTAGGCAGTTGTTGATGAATGTCTGTAGTTTGTTGGAAATCCCTTCCGTGACGCGCCAAGTCTCTGAACCATACAGAAGCACTGACTAGATGTTGGTGCTGAAAATCCGGATATTGTTCCACATGCTGAGTGCAGACGATCTACACACTGGTTTCAGGCTAATAAACGCCTGTCCTGCTTTTCAGATTCTGACTTTGACAACCTCGTCTGTGCCACCTGTAGTTGGAACAGTGCTGCCTAGATAGCTGAAGGAGGCTACTTCCTTTACGTTTCTTCCATTCATGGTGATTAGAGCTTGTTGGTGGTGGTGGTTCGGTATCTTCATCAACTTTGTCTCCTCTATATTCACTTGAAGTCCCGCATTCGCTGCCTCTTCTGACAACTTGTTAGTTTTCGCCTGTAGATCTTCAAGATTCTGCGACATCAGACACAAGTCGGCGGTGAAATCCAAGTCTTCTAGATTCTTTACGCGGTCCAGCGTATCCACCTCTCCTCGTTCCTCACCGTGTCTTGCATGATTCAGTCGACCACAATCAGGAATATCATAAGTAATAGTAGGCAGCCTTGTATTACTACTGTCTTCACTTCAAAAGCATCACTGAGCTTACCATTGTGAATTAAACAGACCAGAAATACTGAATTTCAAATATCCCTATAAACCGAAGTAGGTGAGAAGCAAAAAAATCTCACATAGACATATCAACGTCAAACGACGCATAAAAGTGCATCAGTTCAAGTTACCACACTTCACACTAGCATACAAAGAACAAATCGACAGAAAAAGGCTGATATCAAAGTAGACAAAGGTGTATACGAGGAAATCAAATTCGAAAATCAAGTTTCAGAAAACGTCAAAAAGTGAATGCACCTGCACTACTCTAACCAATTTTCAGCCATTTCATCAAGAGTCATCGTCATCCTATCGTCTCAAGGACCTCAGTCTGGCAATCTACACCTCCCTACACAGCTCAGACCAACAGTCACAGATTTCATGGTCTGGCCAGCCTGAGTCTCCTTCTAACCTACCTAATACAACCTACACGTCGAGGTCGGCAGTGACCCGTCGTGCACAATACATGTTCAAGTCAATTCAGTCGCTGAATGTTCACAACTTCAACGACTGACTTGCCTTCCTTGCCTAGTATCTCTCCAATAAACTCGAAACTGCTAGCATGGTGATTCCACTATACGTGAGTAATGATACGAAGACACCTATGATAGATACCCTGTGACCACTTCATGTCTTCTACTTTAACGGCCATGTCTCACAGCCAAAACACATGCCAAACATACTCTGGTTTCTGCTCAAGGCATCCAAGACTGCATTTGTCAGCGTCTTCATCTAGCGTGGCTGTCTCCTATCTACTTGCCGAACAGAACAATAACGTCTATGTACTCTAAGGTTAACCACACGCCCTCCGAGGAGTAGGTCAAGCCCTATGAAGTCAGACGTTCCTAAGGTTATGTTCATCAGTACATCTACAGTGAAATTAAACAGGAACGGCGAAAGCGAACATCCTTGCCAGACACAACTGATTGTCGTCAATCCAGATGATTAATCGCTACAAGCCCTTCCTTACATGACTGCATGAATTTCAGTATTGAGTTTTCATTAGCATTGCATACCTGATCTCTACTCTCCTTACTGCCAGACACTGCTACAACACCTCATGTTCAACAGAGTCGAATACCACCTTCAGGTCAAGAAATATGGTGAGCGTCGACCGCCGGTAAGTGTGCCTGTGTTCCAGAACCTGTCGAACGGTAAAGATCTGATCGACGCACCCTTGTTCAGGTCTGAAACCTGTCTGGTTTACACGAGCTCTAATTAGGCGTCGGATAACTATGAACAAAACGATCTTTGACACGATGTCAATCAAACTGATTCCCCTATGATCGTTACAAGAAGACTTCTCTCCCTCCTTATAGACTGGAATGATAAGAGAAGTAGAGTAGTCTGATGGGTCTGCCTCTGGTTTTCATCCACTACTCCATTGTGCATAAGAATTCTCTCAGATTTTGAATTGATTGCAGTAATCTTAGTAACATCCTTGTTGATGCTTATTTTGGACCCTGCTGGTTAGCAGAAGAAAATGAAGATGGTTCCGTATGCACTGTACGCAATACGAAAATGAACTGGTCTATAGAGTACCTTAAGGGAGTGTTTACATTGCTTAGCAATGGAAGCATTCATAAAAGTCTAACGAGTGAAAAAAACACCAGCTGCAACTAGGAAAAAATTACATCACCAAAGAACATATGAAAATATTACATTTCAGCAATAAAAAATGAAACATCAAAATTTATTGGTGCTTGTTCGGTGGCTTGGTTAGCAGTGGAATCTAGGACGCGCATTTCGTCCTATTTGGGACTCATCATCTGGACGTACCTGGACCCCATTGAGTGTTGCTCCCACTGAGACTCGAATTCAGTAGCCATCACTTCAAAGGCCATAGACCAATCCACTGGGTCACTGAGGCACGAGAGTCGAAATTTATTATTCTCTGTTATTCATTATTCGAAATTTATCATTCACTAGGAAAACGTTCATTGCCTTGTGATGATGAGTCCGGTTGTTTGAAAAACTGATACAACTCAACAGTCCATGGGCTTACGGTTCAACATATTGTCATTCCTAAACCCATGTCTGCATATCGAGGAAGATTAAAACTGACTATTTATTGATGGTCTTACCCAGAACGTTTCTTTTAGTTGACCGAATGCTCATTATTTAAGGTGTATGGAATATTTTTGAGTTAGGTTTACACCTACTTATTCCTCCGTGTAAGCGTAGAACTTTGGCACTGTGGTAGTGTGTAGTTACACTTTTATTTTCTTTTGAGATATTTCCTACGGTGAAACAGTATTATTTTACGGGATAACCTGGATGCGTTAAAAAGGTTATGCGGTAAATAAGTTTTACTGTAAAATATCTAATACACGAATTAACATGGAACTACTTATTCATCGACTCGTGTTATATCTTGTGTACCTTTCTTCCAATACTTTAACCAGTCATAGAGAAGAGATAATTCAGCGAAGAAAATTTTCTTTCTCGACGATATCATTTTCTAAAGCTGTACAATCGTATTTATATATATCATAAACATATAACAGTCTATTGTAAAACAATAGGGTATAATTACATCATCAACCTAGTGCTAAAAAAAGCCGGAATCAAGAATGCAAAGTAGTTGCGTAATAAACTAAGACAGTAAAAATATCGAGGAAGGCAATGAGTTTGACAAGGTGAAAATTGTTGGTAGATAAGAAACGCAAATATTGAGTGTCCACTTGATAGACAGGTGTGAAGAAGGTGAAAATCTGTTATTTTGCAGGTGAGGAAATTGAAAATCCAATTTTCATCACCACTAAAAAAAGGCTTATTTCGCCAAAGTCAATGGATCACCAGTATGTCATAAACAACAATAAGAGCTGTACTACTTGGCATACATCGCTTAATTTTACCTACATAAGGATGTGAATCAATTCGGTTGAGCTAGTAGCCAACTTCAGAATGGATTTGGGAATGCAAACTTGCATACATAAGTGACACTACCTTGCACACCTGTTAGTTAAATGAATCAGTCTCTAAGATCGAGTATGAAGGTCAGCTGTTCTTCGTACATTACGAATGTGCTCAATCACCGTAGAAAGTGAAAGACAGGAAGCCACAAGTAGCTTTACCACTCATAACTTGTAGTGAAGCTACCCAATGAAGGATATTGCAGTTAGCTGAAGGTGAATCAGTTGATTTTTGATATTATGTTTTTATTCTACTTACCTCCTTTTCTTCGTATCTTATGGCTTGTTACAAAAGCTGGTACTATTCATTTGCATTTCTGATGAGAAATGTCACAATTTTAACCAACCGACAGTTACACCAGACCCAATGTTACATACATCCGTTTATCTACAATCTGCACCATGATAACTAATTTCGTGGCGTGTAAATTAGGTTCTCATTATCTCATTAAGCTCAGTCGCGAAAAGTACTTCTTCACGACTCCGTTATGACCAACCACTTTATCGATTGATTTGGTCATCCCTAATTTTTTCTCAGCCACATATTAACTTAACCACCAATACATACATGGCACGTTGAACAGTTTGGTTAGTTCCGATGGAAAATAAACTGGTATTATTTGAATTGAATGCTCCAACTAGCAACTGCAAAATATGGCTCTGACAAGTTGATTGATTTACACATGATTTACAAATTGTCTGGTCCATGTTGGCATTTCTCACAGTTGAGTACTTTTTCAGCTGCTTAACTCTGCTGTCAATAGAGTTTCCGTTGGGTACACTGATTATGAGCTCGGCCTCAAACGAGAGAAACAGC